TGGTAGATGGCCATGAAATAAAAATGAAAATCATCTAGGTCAGTGCAAGTATTATATTGTGCAAATTTGGTCTAAAGGGTTTGGAATGAGTCTGGTAGGATTTGTGTCTGGGATCCCCATAATAAGAACCAGTGACGAAACCAGTTTGAGAATCTTTTGCAAATAGGAAGTTTGAATTGTAAGTACCAGGAGTGCGTATTATTGGGATTTTGATAGGAGAAAACCTTATGCCAGGCTTCTAAATACTCAGCATATTTATAATATTTATATTGAAATTCTGGATTAATTAATTTCTTCCCTTGTATGGGGTTACACCCCCAATCTTCATAAGAAAGTAATTTATTTATTTGAAATTTTGAATAAGCATATAATTTAGTAGTTCCTTGATAAAAGTGAACAATAGTAACTAAACCAGTTTCCATGAGAATGGATTCATACCATTCACGAGTCTCGGCTCCGTGTGATGGATTTAAGTGGTTTACAAGGTAAAGGGGAGCAAGCTTATTTGGGACAATATGAACATGGTTGTCAGAGATGGGTATATCGGACAAGAATGTTGTTTCAATATAGACCGATTTGGCAGCAGTGGAGGTTTGCCTATTTGGGTATGTTGCCGGAGAGAATGCCGGACTAGGGGCTTGTATTGGACTTTGAGGAGGAGTTTGTATCAAATATTCAAGTATGTTCGTAAATCTGAGAGGTGACATAGGTGTCAGAGTCAAAGAGGGATAGTTGGGCATAAGAGGCCCAGGCATATTGCAAGGTACCAAGTCCATGGGTTGTTTTGCTTTAGATTTATTTGGAGGATTATTCATATTGATATTCTTATTGGCAAGAAATAGTTGCAAACCGTATGGAAGAGTATCGTCTTCAGGAAGTGGTGGTAATAGGAAGATACTAAAAAACGCCTATGGGCAAAAATGAACAATGATTTCGCCTACCCTCATCACCATCCAAAGTTCATCACACGGTCACGATTGTTCAGTGTTTCATTTTTTAGTTTTTTTCTACAAATCCGAATGACCTGAAATTTGGAGCGTGTGTTCATCAAAAACAGGCAAATCTACGAAAAAATCAAAAAAATATTTTACATTGAAAACAGGTGACCAAAATACCCCCGAAAAGTTTTAGGGGTATTTTGGTCAATTTTTTCACAATTTTTTTTTTTTTATTAAGTGCTTCTCACTAAGATGTACACACGCTCCAAATTTCATATCATTCCAATTTGTAAATAAAAAATAAAAAATGAAGCACTATCGGACAATCGTGACTGTGTGATGAACTTTGGACGATGATGAGACTAGGCTAAATCACTATTCATTTTCGCCTATCATTGGGAAGATTTTTCCATGTATATATATATATATGGGTGCAGTTTGTATAGAGCCTAGGCTCTAAACAATCAAATTGGAGCCATCAAATAGTGTCGAGAAATGTGGTTTCAACACTGGAAATCTTTGTAATAGCTTTAAAATATATTTTCATCTTTATTTATAAAGTTTAAAGCTTCAAAAATAGTGTAAATCGACAAATCTATGAAAGCTTGAAAATCTTGAAAATTAACGGTCTAAAAATGTGTTACAAAATATACTATTTACAAAACTTGAAATCCATTTTTTTCTCATGTCCATGCATCTTGATGTCAAGATGATTAATTTGAGGATATTTGGGCATCAAAACAACCTCTTCTAGTGAAATTTTTTAGGTAGGCTCAAATTTAATTGTTTAGAGCCTCGGCTCTATATAAACTTCTCCATAATATATATATATATATATATATATATATATATATAT